TTGCCTTTGAAATGAAAAGGATGACTGAGAAAAATAATTTTGTTTTTCTTTTACATTGTTTGACTTTCAAACAAAAGTCATTGCTTAGAAAATTAAAATGGGTAGGGCAGCCAAAAATGCCACTGGAAGACTCTAATCAGAAAGAGAAGTGGGAAAGGAATTTCAGTAAAGAAGCAGGGAGAGAGTGACCCTCCTATGGAGGAGGTTACAAACTTGAGAAAGTTACATCTTGGAAAACATCCAAATTGGAAAGAAGAAATAGAAGGAGTTACAGTAAGACAATTTAGGGCCATGAATACCCAGGGAAGCTGGGAAGCTGATCCATCAGGGTACTGAACCTCCTAGGAAGCCATCGAGCAGTGTGTATGGGACATGTTGACAAGGTTTTAACAACATGAGAGAAGGAATTTAACGAGTAAATGCTGTACAGAATATTGGTTCCCAAAGAGATTCAGAATCCAGGTGCTGGTGGTGGTGGTGGTGTGCCGTGGAGTTGGTTCTGACTTGAAGTGACCCTGTATAGGGGTTCTGAGGCTGTAAATCTTTACAGGAGCAGGAAGCCTCTTTCTCCCATGGAACCACTGGTAGTTTTGAACTGCTGAACATGAAATTAGCAGCCCAACTTGTAACCACTATGCTACCAGAGCTCTTTACTCTAGGTGCTGGAACGTTGTTAGTATGAAGAGATTTCCAAAAGTTTGTGGAAAAATGGAATAAACAGATAATGGATATTTTCCACAAATATTATGAAGACCACTGACTCATATGGTATTTTATTTGGAAAATGAGTTTTGAAAATTCCATTACACATGGGCAACTTTAGTAATAGACCTGAAGGGTCAATAAATCATAAATACCATGGTCAAGGTGTTACATTTTAGGAATTGCTATCAACAATCTGAGGGAAACATGTATGGACTGTCAAATGGAAAACTGATTCGCTGCCATTGTTTACCCAATTCACAATGTTGTTGTTAAGTGCCATCGTGTCGGTTCCTACCCATAGCGACCCTGTACAGGGTTTCTGAGGCTGTAAATCTTTACTGGAGCAGAATACCTCATGGAACGGCTAGTAGTTTTGCACTTCTGGCCTTAAGGTTCGCAGCCCGATTCATAGCCACTACGCTACCAGAACTCATTATAAAAAGTTAAAAAAAAGAGAAGTGAACATTCATTGTCTGTTGCTGTTGTTAAGTGCTGTCAAGTCTATCCCGACCCATAGTGACCCTGTACAGTGTTTCCCAGGAGCAGCTTCTGAGCTTGAACCACCCACCTTGCAGTTTAAACAGCTTTGCAGTCTGGCGCATGGTTAAGGCAGTTACTCAGTGGGTTACACTGAGCCACACCAGGACTCCATAGTCTAGTAAGGTGTTATGCATGAAAGCATGAGGGTAAATAAAAAAGCATTACTACTAGGTTTTGAGCTCAAGCTTGCTCAGATTTATTCCAAACAATGTGAATTTATATATGTCTCTGAGATCCCTGAATAACGTCAGAGATGTTCTCTCAGTAATATACTTTCTTAGTTTGCTCTGGACTCTTTTTAAATTCCCAAACAAAACAGTAACTCCTTAGGGGATCTACTGGGCCAGTTAAATTCAAGGAAGGGAAATCAGCTCAGAAGTTTAGGATTACTGTTTTCTGAGATCCCAATAAGGTAATTTTGATAGATTTTCTTGAAGAGCACAGGAAAATCACATAAGGTTTATTACAAAAAGTTTGAAGAACATAGAAAACTACACTGGAGAGAAAAAGTTCTACAAAAAGTGTGCAGAGGAAGGTTTTTCCATTACAACCACATCCTTGCTCATTCTTTTAGAGAAGCAAGGGCTGTCCTAGGAGAATTTCTTTGGGAACCTATTCCATCCACCCTATAGACTTTTTTGTTCCCAAATCCAAGGAACATAGAAGAGGAATCTGATTTGAGTTGTTCAGGGTCAACAAAACTGCTATTTGGACATGATGTAAATTGAGGAGTCAAAATTCTGTGGGGAAGATTTAGAGAGCTGGCAACACCCCCTTCACCAGTGCATAGAAATAGATAAGAGGATATATTGAGAAACAGTATGAGTAGCTTCACATTGTGGTATTATTTTAAGTACAGATTTCTATGATTTTATACTAATCCTCTTTTTGCTCACCTTTGTGTGTGTATAGATGCTCTTTCACAATTCTTGTTTATCACTTGTGGCTCATGGAAGAAAATGCTATTCATTTTATAAACATATTTTCTTTGTCAACTTTCTTACTTTAAGTTTTTTTTGTATGAATTGAGTGAAAGGTTACAGCTTAGATCATCAGTTTTACATTGAGCATATCATGCAACTTTTTTCATTACAATGATTATAATCCCACCCATGTACCATCAGTTAACAGTATTTCTCTCCATTCACTTTAGCTTTTTTTTTTTTTAAACACTCAGGCATATATAATAATTTACACTACCAAAGGGCACACTCTCCAAGTCTGCCTCCAGGACATCATCTTTGAGTCTCTCTCTTTCCATATATCTGGAGTCCTCAGCTGCTTCCTCTCTCCATGTCCCCATCTTTACCACCTTCTCTGGTGTCCTTGATTCTCTGTATAAGATCTCGTATTCTGCTTGTGCACTTCTCCCTTGATGGTTCTAAGGTCCTTTGTTTCTGGACTATAAGATTAACTACTCCCCCATTTTTGTTACAAAACTTCTACCTTTAAAATGTGACAGTCACAATTACTCACTATTGAATCATAAGAATCTTATCTCCATTTCTTTTCACCAGACCCATCTAGACAAGATGAAAACTATTCAGTGGGGACTCTTTCTTCCCCCTCCCTCACACTCTTAAACTTAACCTCCCTTGAATTCTTGTAAGCCAGTCACCATATGCCATGATCACCTCATTTTAGGTAGCCAATGTCTACATTGCCTGCCCCTATTTTCCTGTGTACAGATGGGATACTATTGATACTTGATGTGACGACTCCTTCCCTCTCTGTTGGTATTTAGACTTACTACCTCCATGACTGTAGGTCAAGTTCATCAAATTGTAGCAATTTACTCTTGTTTCCTTTATCAAAAATAGCTTTTTGGTGTTTTTTTTCCTTTTTCATTTCCTCTAGTTGAGTTATTTTCTCCATAGGTTAGAATGTGGTTTATTGGTCCAGT